CTATAAAGGGTCCTTATGAGTCAGAACCAACTTGAAACACTCACTAAAACAATGGGCAAAATAATGAATGTCACTGGAAGCATCAAAAGAAGATGGAAGGACTACACAGAATAGCTGTACCAAAAATAAATGGTCAATGGTCAACCATTTCAAAGGTACCATATTATCAAGAATTGATGATACTAAAGGAAGAAACCCAAGCTGTACTAAAGATATTGGCAAAAAAACAACAGTTCCAGGAACCGAAGTAATACAAATTGAAATGTTTTAACAAAATGATGCAGCTCGAGAGGTTCTCATTCATCTATGCCAATACTTTTGGAAGACAGCTAGCTACCTGGCCAACCAGTAGGAAGAGAACCATCTCTGTGTGAATTCCAAAGAAAGAGGACGCAAAAATAATCTGTCAATATCATTAATATCACATCAAGTAATATTTTGTTGAAAATATTTCTAAAACAGTTTTAGCAGTACATTGAAAGGAACCTGTCAGAAATTCAAGCTGGATTCAAAAGGGGATGTGAAATGGGAGATGCCAGTGTTGACTTCAGATGGATCTTGGTTGGAAGCAGAGAACATCAGAGATATATTTATTTGTGCTTTATTGACTATGCAAGAAAGGGCATTTGACTATGTGGATCATAACAATATATATATAATAATCTGAATAATGGGCATTCCAGAACACTTAATTGTGCTTATGTTGTTGTTGTTGTTAGGTGCCATGGAGTCAGTAGCGACTCATAGTGACCCTATGCACAACAGAATGAAATACTGCCTGGTCCTAGGCTAATCTTACAATTGTTGCCACACTGGAGCTTGCTGATCCATCACGCTGGGGGTCCTTCTCTTTTTCTTTGACCGTCCACCTTACCAAACATGATATCCCTCTCCAGTGACTGGTCCCTCCTGAAAATTTGTCCAAAATGTGAGAGACGAAGTCTAGTCTGGCCTCCAAGGATTACTCTGGCTGTACCTCTTCCAACACAGATCTGTTTGTTCTTTTGGCAGCCCACGGTACTTTCAATATTCTCCTCCAACACCATAACTCAAATGCATCAATTCTTCTATGATTTTCCTCATTCACTGTCCAACTTTTGCATGCATATGAGGTTATTGGCGTACCTTAGTCCTCGAGCTGATATCTTTGCTCTTCAACACTTTAAAAAGATCTTGTGCAGAAGATGTTCCTAATGCAATACATCGTTTGATTTCTTGGCTTCTGCGTCCATGAGTGTTAATGATGGTTGATCCAAGAAAAATTAAGTCTTTGACAACTTCAATCTTTTCTCCATTGATAAGAATGTAGTTTATTGGTTCAGTAGTGAGGATTTTTGTTTTCTTTACATTGAGATGCAATCCATACTGAAGGCTAGGGTTTTTTATCTTCATCAGTAAGTATTTTAATTGTGCTCATGAGGAACCTGTATATAGAACAAGAGGCAGTATTCAAACATAAAAAGTGATACTTCAAAGTTTAAAATAATGAAAGTATGTGTTAGGCTTGTAACATTTCACCATAGTTATTTAATCTGCATGTTGTTATTATTATTAGGTATCATTGAGTTGATTCAGACTCAAAGAAACCCTATACACAACAGAATGAAACACTGACCAATCCTGTACCATTGACACCACTGTTGTTATGTTTGAACCATTGGGGGTCTTCTTTTTTTTTGCTGACCCTCCACTGTTCCAAGTAAAATATCCAAGTAAGGGACTGGTATCTCCTGAAAGCATGCCCAAAGTAGAAGGGAGAAAGTCTCACTATCCTTGCTTTTATGGAGAATTCTGGCTGTACTTTATCCAAGATAGATTTATTTATTCTTCTGGAAGCCCAAGGTACTTTCAATATTCTTCTAAAACATCATATTCCAAATGCATAAATTATTCAAGGATCTTTTTTATTGTCCCCCTTGCACATGCAGGAGGCAACTGAAAATATCATGGATTGTGTTAGACGCACCTTAGTCCTCAATATGGCAGCTTTGCACTTTAACACTTTAAAGAGGCCTTATGCAGCAGATTTGCATAATGCAACATATTCTTTGATTTCTTGACTAAGGCTTCCATGAGCATTAACTGTCAATCTAAGCAAAATGATATCTTGGAAAATTTCAAACTTTTCTCAATTTACCATGATATTATTTATTGGTTTAGTTGTGAGGGTTTTCATTTTCTTTACATTGAGATGCAATCGAAACTGAAGGTGGCATTCTTTGATCTTCATGAGTGAATATTTCAAGTCCTCTTAGCTTCCAATAAGAAAAGTTGTGCTATCTTTATATCGTAGATTGTTATAGAGTCTTCCTTTAATCTTGTTGCCACGTTCTTCTCATTTTATCCAGCTTCTGGATTATTTGCTTAGCATACAGACTAATAAGTATGGTGAAAGATTTCAACCTTGACACATACTTTTCCTGATTTTCAACCATTCAATATCCCCTGGTTCTGTCTGAACAGCTGTCTCTAGATCTATGCACAGGTTCCTCGTGAGCACAATTAACTTGTCTGGAATAACCATTCTTCACAATGCTATCCATAATTTGTTATGATCCACACAGTTGAATGCCTTTCCGTAGTCCATAAAGCACATGTAAGTAAGCACACATAGTAAAGCACACATTGTACTGGTATTCTCTTCTTTCAGTCAAGATCCATCTGACATCAGCAAATTTTCTGCATCCTTTTCTAAATCCGGCTTGAATTTCTGGCTGTTCCTAGTCAATGCCCCGCTGTAACCTATTTTGAATTGTTTTCCGCTAAATTTTGCTTGCATATGATATTAATGATATTGTTAGGTTATTTCTGCATTCTAGTTGATCACCTTTCTTTGGAATGGTTACACATATGGATCCCAATATGTATTCTGAATAAATATTCTGATAAAATGAAGTATAAAAAGAATGTGATGTCAGGTTTGGAGAAGACTCAATAACAACCTGCCCTTTGTGGATGATGCCACCTTACTTCCTGGAAGCAAAAAGGACTTAAAATACCGATGAAGATCAAAGACTACAGCATTCAGTATGGACTGCACTTCTTTCCAGCTGCTTTTTGGAATCCCTATACAGGGTAGCCAGAAGTCAGAACACCCAACTTGATGAACTCAACAATAACAATGGCAAAATACAAAGAAAACAAAAACCTTCATAACTTGACCAAGAAATAATATCATGCTAAATGGAGAAAGGACTTCTGGTGTGGTGCTGTAGGATCAGCACTGGACTGTGAACCACAAGGTCAGCAGCTCAAATCCACCAGATGTTCCTCAGAAACCTTGTACAGAGAAGCTATGAATTGGAACCTACTCAACAGCACTTAACAACAACAGCAAATAGAGAAAAGACTGAAGTTGTCAAAGACTTCATTTTGCATGGATCCACAATCAACATTCATGAAAGCAGCAGTAAAGAAATCAAACTACATGTTGGGCAAATCTGCTGCAAAAGACCTCTTTAATGTGTTAAAGCACAAAGAGGTTACTTTAAGGACTAAGGTCCTCCTGACCCAAACCATGGTATTTTAGATCACCTCATATGCATATGCAAACTGGACAATGAATAAGGAAGACTTTAGAAAAATGAATGCATTTGAATTATGGTATTAGATAAGAATACTGAAAATACCATGGACTGCTAAAAGAACCAACAAATCTGTCTTGGAAGAAGTATAATCAGGATGCTCCTTAGAAGCAAAAGTAGTGAGACTGTCTCTAATACTTTGGACATTTGGTCAACAGGGACCAGTTCCTGGAGAAGAACATCATGCTTAGTAAAGTGGAGGTTCAGGGAAAAAGAGAAAAGACCTCTCAACAAGATGAACTGACACAGCGACAACAATAGGCTTAACAACTGTGAGGATGGCACAGGACCTGACAGTGTTTCCTTCTATTGCACATAGGTTCACTATGAGTAAGAACCAACTCAATGGCACTGTACAAAAACAACAATAACAGAGAACTTCAGAAATCTTTTACAAAATAAACTAAGAAAAGGTCTAGTAAAATTTTGGTAAGAATGATCATAGTACCACCTCATGTGTCTTTCATACTTTTATTGCTCCAAAATAGTTTTCATATGTATTATCTCATACAGAATGAACTTAATGACAGTGGGTATCTCATTCACAGTGAAAATCCCTGGAATGAAAGAATTACCAACAACATTTTTCAGATGATTAAATCTGAGCTTACAATTGTCAAAGATTTTGTTCTAGTTCATAACTCAAGCACTGGGTTACTATGCCAACGCACTTCCCCAATAAAAACTTGCTAACTGGTGACCCATAGGAAACAAAGGATGCTGGGAAACTCTCTGTTAAGAACCCTATTCTTCATGGCTCTCAATATAAGGCTCTCATGCCTTACAAAGCTTCTCAGATTGCCTGCCTCCCATTCCTAGCATAACGCACATCCCATCCACCTGACTATTGTAAAAAAATAAGATCTACAAAGAGTAAACTCTGGCCTTTGAGGGTAGGGGAATAGCTCACATTGTTCTATTAACATTTGAAGAGCCCACCTGTGATAACACATGAGCATGTTCACATTTGCATAAAAGAGAAAAATGAGGAGGAGATAAAAGGATTAAAGAAGGGAATGGGAAGGATCTACAAGAAGAATTAAAGAGGGGAAAAAGAGACAAGGAAAACAATGCATAAAATAAGGAAGACAAAGCAAAACTTCACATCCATGTGAACTTTTAAAACTTACAAAAAAAAAAAAAAAAAAAAAAAAACTAAAAACTATAGCAACCAAGCCCAGATGGTGAAACTTAAGGCCCAAAGTGTACAACGTCAAAATAGGGGGGAGAGGGACAGGAAATTATTAAAATAAAACAAGAGACAACGGAAAAGTCTAAAAACTACTAGAAGGTCAAAAATGGGAAGGGGGATGTGAGAGGATCCACCAGGAGAGGAAAAGAGCAGGAGAACAGGAACTGGAATTCAGGGCTGGACAGCCAAGGTGAAAGGAGAGGAGAGTGAAGGCAGACACTCACCCTCACAAAGCTGGCAGGAAACCATCCCTCCTCATCGTCGATCTGGCCCCACCACCAATCCTTGTTGGAAGCATCCAAGACTTTGATGACGTCGCCAGCCTTAAATGCCAACTCCCGGTTGGCCATGGTGACGTGATCCCATACTGCCTCAGCACTAACGATGGAATCTCCAGTGATCAGCTTAGGAAACAAAACAAGAATGTGTTCAGTCCACACAGCTGACTACCTTGCTTGGCCCTTCCTCCACCCACACACAGAGCTACACTACTTACGAAAAAACTTATACATACTAGTGTTAAGGGGTAGGGGGAAAGAGGATATCATTAAAGTGTAAGTTTGATTCGACCAAAAGACAAACAATACTGTCAACTCTCCATTAGCCAGTGAGTGAAAGGACCCAGAGAGAGAATATGAATTATACAGGTCTTATGATTTTATCCCTATTCATGAGGTCCTCCTTCAGAGAAGAAATTAAGCTACAGTCTATCTCACCTTGGTGCATCAAGCAGCCTTAGGTCTAAAATAGGTATAGAGGCTAAAATCAATAGTTAAATTTATGATCAACCTTATTTGTTTTCAATTCTATGTTCTTCTCTACCCTTCCCCCTTCTCCTTGAAACTGACCAAGTGAGAGTTGGCAGTACATTATTCAACTCAACTGTACCCATCTCTTTGGAGGAACAAACCATTACATTCTTCATATACAATGGACTCCAGTCCTACAGTCTCTTGCTCTCACCCACACATGATATCATCCATAAAGATTCTGGTATAAAAAAAAATTATGGCTTTCTGTGATGCCTTGCTCCTGAGGATCTCAATCTTGGCATAGACTAACTCAACTATTTGTAAACCCACACCCTCTGAGTGGTGCTCTCGGATAAGCATTAGACTGCTAACTGCAAGGTCAACAGTTCAAGCCCACCAGTCACTCCTTGGAAGCCTTATAAAGGGTAACTATGAGTTGGAACTACTCGATGGCACTTACAACTACAACCACCCTCTCTGTATCTCACAGGGTAGTTGTACAAATCATTGAGTTATTCTATGCCAAGACTGAGATATTTAGGAAAAAGACACCACAGAAAGTCATTTTCTTTTATACCGTGACCTCTCTAAACTTGTCCCTTAAATTATTTGTGCCTCAGGTTTGTTTTTTTTTTTTTGTTTGTTTTTGTTTTCATCTATCAGGCCCTTACAAAACTGGGCCATGAATAATTTAATGGACAAGCTCAGGTTCACCCAGCAATGCAAGGGTTGTGGCTAGATACTGTTCATTAATTTTATGACAGTCAGGATTGAGTTCCACACAGCAGTCGGCAGACATCTATCCCATCATCACATAAACACACAGACATTCACAATACTCATCTAATCACAGTGATGAGGATGGGTGGGGGGTGGGAGAAACAGTCTGCCTTTCCCTGGCTACCATCCTGACCACTGTGTTACTTGTTTTCCTTTTTTCCTCAACTGGTTCTAGCCTGAATGAGCCATCAGTCTTCCTGGTATTTGGAGAAAAAGGTTTCAGAGTAGAGAACATATGACCTGGCAGGCAAAGAGTTTCAAGCACTCTCTCTCCAGCATCAAATCTTTAACATATCCTCAAGAATTAAGTTATTCCATCACTCTACCTGCCAACTGCTCCTCTGAAACCCTATAAGTTGTAACCAATTAGACAGCAATTAACAAAAATAACATTGAGAAAGGACTGATTCCCCAAGGCAGCCATAACTCCACAAGACCAAAGGCAAAAAAGTTCAAAGACAACAGCAATAGATGGAACATGCATCTCTCTGATAATATATCTACCCTCTAATATACCAGCTGAATTCACAACACATCATGTACACTTGATTAAGGTATTCTGTTGGTTAGGCCCTGCCTGAGGCGTTGCTCAGGGTTTCAGCCATTGTGCCTTTTACAGAAGGCACACCATGAAGAGAGATTCTCAGCCTGGACCAAAAATAAATAAATAAATAAATAAATTTCTAATGGCTGTCTGTCTGTGTGCCATCGAGTCAATGCTGGCTATAAATCTTTATGAGAACAGAAAGCCTCATCTTTCTCCTTCTGAGTATCTGGTAGACTTGAACAGCTGATCTGTGGTCAGCAGTCCAACACATAACACACTATGCCATCAGGGAGATTTCACCACTTCTTAAGACCTAGTGCTTTACTGTTTGCTAAGTGTTTTTTACATCTACTGCATCACTTTGTCCTCAATGAATGAATTGGGTTTCCCTATCACCTATACTCTAAAGATGAAGAAATTGACCTGGTCCTTCAGCCAGTCAAACAAGCCAGGTCTTCTGACTTTGTGTGTCCGTAAGCTCATTATACCATACTATTAATGTTATTATAGACCTTCACCTACAATGAATTTAGAGAATTCCATTTTATTCTTAAAAGAATCCCAAGAAGGAATTGTGGACAGCCACCAAACTTGCTTTCTCCAATTGTATTAGAAGTCAATCTATCCTTGGTCTTACTCAGTGAAGAGAGAATTGCTGATCACTGACCTCAATAAAATAAAATCTATATATTAATTTCCCCTCTCTTGCCAAAGGTAGTTTCCAGTGTCATTGCTGAAATTCAATGAGGACCAATACAGAGTAGCAAAAGGACTTTTGGTTATATCATGGACTTTTTTTTACCAGTGGGCAAAATAATACATCAACATCAATTGCCAACTTTCTTAGTCCTATTCTGTAAATGAGAGGAATATTTGGACACTGCTATTTGACTTTTGCCAAGCCCAGATCTAGCAAATTCTATTACCTACACTTTCTACTGTGTAGTCTTCGATTTAGGGATTCCATGCTTGACTTCTTTCAGTTAAAACTGGCTCAATTTTATACCCATTCAGTCCAACTGGCCTGTTTGAACACCCAGGTCACAGGGCCAAGACCTAGAATCATATACCCTGGACAGAATTAACTCAAGGCCCAGTGGCCACATACTAACCAACTGGCAAGCCTATTGTCAGGATCATCACCCAAGACCTTATGTTATAGATCAGAAATCACATAGCAAGAGTAACTTGCCTAAGGTCATCAGATTGACAGCAGTGTTTTTCCCCCCAAATAATCCCATCTAAAGGGAAGGTAGAAGCATAAGCTTTAGAATGAAGAACTTGGTTTTACTGCTTGCTAAAGGTGTACTTATAATAATATTATCTGATCCGCAGCATTTAGTATGTTCCAGACACTATTCTAAGCACTTTACATACTTTAACTCATTTAATCCTCACAGCAATCCTTTGAATAAATATTATTATTTGTATTTTAATTTTATAGGTCAGACAATAAGTGTTGAAATCAGGATTTACAAGCAGCCACTGACTGGCTCCTGTCTATGCTATTAACTTCTAAATTATACTACCTCTGAGTCTCAATTTATTTACCTGTATAATGAAGAAAATTCTACATCCCCATCTGCTTCATAAGTACATGGAATTAACAGATGACAGATGTGTGCAGATATGAGGGGAGGGCTAATATAGAAAGCGCTAGCATCTGTATGGGGCTCATGCTGCTGAAGACTATTTCATTTCAAATACAAGTACGAGTAAAGGACTGCTCCTCCCCTACCTTCTGAGTTGCTTTAAACGTACACTTAATTTGGACTGGAAACTGATTCCAAATCTTCCTTTCATGTACAGAATTGACTTTGTACTTGCCAAATCTTTTTTTTCATAAATTATGCTTTTCTCTGCTCACCCACTTTCCATCCAACACTCAATGAGCTTCAACGGGACTCTAAAAATCAAAGAGGCTCATGGCACCAATCATCACATACCCTTCAAGTAGTATATGAAGGTGGTTAAGGACATGCCGAAGGCATTCTGGTAGTGCAGTGGTTCTGAGTTGGGCTGCTAATCTCATGGTCAGCAGTTTGAAACTACCAGCCCTTCTGCAGGAAAAAGATGAGGTTTTCTGATCCATTAAAGATTGAAAGCTTCGGAAACTCGAAATATGGTCATTATGAGTCTGAACCAACTCCATGACACACCATTACCACCAAGGACTTGCAAAAAGGAGCACTGGTAATGTAGTGGTTTTGAGTCAGTCTGCTAATCTCACGGTCAGTAGTTCAAAACCGCTAGTGGTTCCAGGAAAGCAAGATGAGGCTTTCTGCTCCTGTAAAGATTTACAGCCTCAGAAACACTATACAGGGTTGCTATGAGTCAGAAGCAATTCCACGGCACATAACCACCACCACCACCAAGGACAAGCAAACGTAGCTTAAATTCTGAACTTTTCTACTTTAGTAAAAGAGAGATAAGGAATAAAATAGAAGCCAGAGAAACAAACTGAAATAGAGCTGTCAGCACATAATTGAGATATAAATCTCACAAAAGCCAAGTACAAAATTCCATATAGACTTGAGACTAAGTTTTCTCATCTACAAAATGGGGTTGATACTGCCTCACAAGTAGGGTTGTCAAGAGGGTTAAAAGAGATTCTCAGTGTATAGTACTTTGTAAGGTGCCTGGTATATATTGGTCCACAACAAAGGACCTGAGTATAAGACTTTAGAAGAAAGAGGAAACATACATAGCTAGTGAGCTATGAAAAGTTTTTGTGATGCAACAGAGATAGACCTTAAAGAATGGGTAGGTTTACAACAAATAAAAAAGGGAAGGGTATTTAAGTCAGAGGAACAACTTTAAGCAGTCTCGTAGGTGGGGGCAGTGTGGAATTTGCAGGTGAACAAGTAGTAGATTGGACAAGGTAGAATTGGAGGAGGGAAGTGGGAAAAGGGACAGCTGGAAATGTGGGCTGGGGGTCATGTTTAAAGGATATTGAATCTAGTTTGAGGAAAACGAGGAGGTCAGTTTTGACTTTGGGAGATCAATCCTAAGTGTGGTCATGAAAGCATAAGGGTAAGTTAGCAGGAAATACTGGTTTTAGAGAAGAGATAATACATTCGATCTTTAATGTGCTTAATACAAGGGACCAGCAGGACACTTTAAAGTTCCAGAAAAGATGGGGGAAATTGACATACAGGTTTGGGGATCAAAGGCCCAAAAGACTGTGGAAATCAAGAAAGTTTTCCCTAGAAGGAAGTGCTAAGAAACAGCAACAATGGGAAATGAGCCAGAGAAACAAACAGAAATAGAACTTTCTGTATATAATTGGAATATCAAAAAGAGTGCAGTCTTACAAAAGCCAAAA